AGGAGCCCTTGACCCAGGATAACATATGTTAGGAAGAAAACTGTTCCTTATAAGGACTGGGCATCATGAAGACTGGGCTGCTCTTGGTGGTATACGTTTCCCTAAAATGATTTCTAAATATTTTTACATTTATTTCTCCCTTTTTTGATTTTTATTTCTTAGACCTCTAGTTAGTTCTAGGACCTTTATTCAATGTAAGATCTGATCTGTCGGGATTGGGGCATGGTATATTCATAAAGGTAATTATCACACCATTATTTAATAGACTCCAAATTGGAATCATATTAATGTCCAATATAGGGAAATAGTAAAATATAGCATATCACATAATATATTTATTATGCAAGTCATTCACACCTACATTATACATGACTCCAGAAAAATAGGCTAAGGAAATGAAAGAAAGAAAGAAAATTGAGCTCAGAACATTGACAAGTTATAAGAAAAACTCGTTTGGGGAAAAGTCAAAGCTTACTAACTAATCAGTGCAAATTAAAATAGTAATAATTATTGCTAATGCAAATTAAAATAGTAAAATTATTGCTTATCTAATTAGGAAGGAATTAAAAATAATAATACTCAATTTAATATGGCCATTGCGAAAATGGCATTTTCACATCTTGTACACAAAGGTCCTAAGAAAATAGGGGCAGGGGACATAAAAGAAGTCTTTTACCTAGTCATCAACCACACCAAGAAATGTAGAGTTCATTTCTTACATTTGTTACAAAAATCCAATCTTAGAAATGATGTCTTGCACTAATTTGGGGATTATTTTTAAAAGGTACATATTACTGAATACTATAAAGTCTTTAAAGCTATGACATAAAATTACATTTTGCCACACAGAAGAATGATCACCAGATATATGAAGTCTGTCTAGAAAAAGTCCAAAAGATGGTTATCTTTAATATAATGAGAATGGTTTGTACAACATCAAAGTAACCTGGCAGCCAAGAAGAGTGCGCTGGAATGTGCGTCTATGAACAATGATGATTTCACTGTACTAGTTGGTGGGGACTGTAGACACTGTTGAGTGAGCATGTGTACTGGGTGTCTGTCGCATTCAAAATGACTGAGGTAGAGGAGCAACAAATCTGCATCAAATTCTGCTTTAAGCTTGAACATTTTTCCACAGAAACTATTCACGTGATTCAGAAGGTCACAGCTATGGGCACCTGGTAACTGGCAGCTTCATCACAACAACATGGCCACTCATGCATCACATCTCATGCAGAGTTTTTTGGCAAAATATCAAATCATCCAGGTGACTCAAGCCTCCACAGCCCAGATCTGGCACCTTGCAACTTCTGGCTTTTCCCAAAACTAAAATCACCTTCGAAAGGGAAGAGATTTCAGACCATCAGTAAGATTCTGGAAAATATGATGGGACAGCTGATGGCAACTGGGAGAACTAAGTGAGGTCCCAAAGTACCGACTTTGAAGGAAACTGAGATGTCATTGTCCTCTGTACAATGCTTCTTGTATCTTGTATCTTCTTTGATAGGTCTCCATTTTTCCTGTTACATGGCTGGATACCTTCTGGGCAGACCTTATATTTAAGTCAAAGGCAGGTTAGAGAGCAATATACAGTTGTGCACCTCTTAATGACAAGGATACATTCTGAAAAATGTGTCATTAGGTGATTCTGAGAACATCATAAGTGTACTTAAATCTACATAGTATAGCCTACTACACACCTGAGAGAACAACACAAGATTAAATCAAGCACAAGAAAAAAGGATGCAATCAAGAGACATAGTAAATATGAGATGTATAAGGCTGCTGAAGGCCTAACATGCATAATGTTTTATAGCAAACTTTTTAAAAATGTTAATACATAGAAAGAGCAGATGCTAAAATAACAACTTCCCAAGTAGCTTCCAAAACGTCCTTCAAAGAATGACATTAAGGCAGCCCTGAGGATTACCGGGACCCCCTCAGTAGTACATGACCTCCCACAGAGCCAAAGCAACTAGATTGGTGACTGATTCCAGCAGCATCAAAGGGGGAAGTGGCCCAACATTCGCTTGGCAGCTGCCTGCCCAGAAGAACTGCACTGTTGGTGGCTTATGGGGCCCAGGGAGAAGGTGGGAAACGGCCCGCTTCTGTGTCCCAATATCCCAGAGGAACAGAGTTATAACTGACAGAAATGTAATAAAGTGGTCTAAAGCAGATGTAACCAGCTATGGATATTGTGAAACATACCGTTGTCTTATTAAAACAAATATTAAAATTTTTATTAAAATTGAAAATCAAAGCGTTAAAAACTTGCATGCCCCATCAACTCTCATATATTCCCTTATTTATTCAGATGTGCTCTCTAAGCCACACCCTTTGGCAAATAGGCTATAAAAAATTTTTGATTGCAAAATATGCAGACATGAAAAGTGCACAAAACATAAATGTGCAGTATAGGATAATTATAAGGCCAATGCTACTATTTGTGTCAAATAGAGCATGGTCAACATTCCAGAAATCCCCCAGGTATCTCATCCTGGTTCATATGCCCTCTCTGCTCTCTGACTCAGTGTTTATTACTATTGTCACTTCTATGACAACTACTTTCTAGCTTTTCATCACAATTTTCCACCTATGTACACATTTCTATCCAATGCTGTTTCATTTTTGCTAGTATTGAACTGTATATGAAGAGAATCATACTGAAAGCTCTCTTCTTGGGTTCTTCTTCTCAATATCATGTTTGTGAGTTTCATTAGTGTAGCTGGTCGTGGCAATAGTCATTCATTTTCATTGCTATGCAATACTCTGTGATATCAGTGTGCTGCAATTTGATTATCTGTGCTGCTGGTGATAGATCTTCCAAGTGTTTCCAGTTCAGGCTATCATCAATAATGCTGCTATGACCTCCTTGGTCTTGCATCTGATTTAAGTTTGCACATGTTTCTCAAGGGTATATGCTTAGGAGTAAGGAAAGGACTAATCTGGTGACTGTAACTGGTATCTCACTGTGATTTTTTTATTTTTTTATTTTATATATATTTTTAAATATATATTTTATTGATTATGCTATTACAGTTGTCCCATTTTTTTCTCCCCTTTATTCTCTTCCACCCTATACTACCCTACCACCCAATATCCCCCCTCTTTGTTCATGTCCATGGGTTGTACATATAAGTTCTTTAAATGGATGGTTTTTATCTACTGAGAGTAACATCTTTTCATATGTTTTGGCCACTTGGTTTCCTCTTTTGACATGAGGTTATTCAAGCTCTTTACTCATTATTCTATTAATATAATTCTTTTTCGTACTTTGAATATAAGTGCTTTTTAAGCATCTTTGCCCCCTTACAAATTATCTTTTATTTCTGTTGATTTTAATCAAATTCATCAATCCTTTTTTAAATTTTCATTTATTCTATTATAGTTTTCCCAACTTTTCCCCCTTTGCCCTCCTCTGTCCGCTCCCCACTCCCTGCTCCCACAGTCCATCCCACATTGTTGTCCATGTCCATGAATATTCATACATGTTCTTTGACTACTCCCTTCCCTTTCTTTCCCCCGTTTTTTCCCCTCCTCTCTTTCCTCTGGCAGCTGTCAGTCTGTTCCTTATTTCCATGACCCTGATTCTGTTTTGCTTGTTAGTTTATTTGTTCATTAGATTCCTCTTATAAGTGATATCATACGGTAATTATATTTTACCAACTGGCTTTTTTCACTTAACATAATAGTCTCCAGCTCCAGCCATACTGAGGCGAAATATAGGAGTTCCTTCTTTCTTTCTGCTGTATAGTATTCCACTGTGTAGATGAACCACAGTGTTTTAATCTATTCATCTACTCATGGGCGCTTAGGCTGTTTCCAACATTCGGTTATTGTAATCAGCACTGCTATGAACATAAGGGTGCATAAGTTCTTTTGAATTAGTGTTTCAGGATTCTTAAGGTATAATCCTAGCAGTGGAATCTTTCTTTATGATTGATATTTTAGGTGTAGTATTTAAAATCTTTACCTACCATTAGGATATTCTTACATTATATTTTCAAATCTTTAGTCACATTTGGATCTATAATCCACCTACAATGGGTTATTGGATCAGGTGTTCAATAAAAGTCAAGTTTATTTCCTACAAGAAAATTTCTGTCCCTGTAGGACATCATAAAGATGCCTATAGTCCTAAGATCATTTATTGGAAGGAAAAATCGTATTTTTCCCCTCTCTCTGACATGATAATCAAAGGCCTATCTGACCAGAAGTTGCTTTTTTGCAACCACCCCTCCCACATCAGAGGCCCTCTAATCTTAATTGATTTTCATGCTGATATAAATCAGCAGCCCTCCTTGCCTCCTGCAGTGTTATTGTTCTTGACACAGGTGGTCATTCTGACCTGGTCACACAAAGAAAGTAATTTTCCATACCTAATAGTGTTCAGATATTGGTTCCTATAACTATCCTTCCACTCTGACTTCCCTGCATTTACTGTATATAATTCTTTGGCACTTGCCAAGCAGCGTGGGGATCCATTTCATCTTGCAACCATTCAAGATGCCTTGTGTGTAAGTTGCCCTCAATTAACTCTATTAATCACCAAATAAATAGAAATACATAAATATGTCCAAATATTCATGTATCTGTCCACATAGGTGGGGGATCTCTATTCTGGTCCAGCAGTCTGTATATCTATGTCCCTATCAATACCACATTATCTTTTTACTACAGTTTTTTTTTTTTGTAAGAATTGTTCAAGTTTAATGTGAAATTAAAAAAAAACAACAACAACAAAAGGAAAGAAGCCCAATTTCTTTAATGTACAAAAATGTATGAGTAAAAACAAAAGCAAGTTAAACATTATCACATGTGCTCACACTACTGTCTAGTTCTTCAGGTCAACTTTACTCTTCAAATGATAGAAAGGAGGAGGAAATTGAGGGGTTGGGGAAAAGATGAAAAAAACCAATATTTTTCTACTATGTGTATTCTGTACTATGCAGAGCTGTGCTCCCGGAGACAGCTTCTTTACTTCTCCTCTGTGCAGGAATTCAGTTGTATGTAAAATTAAACCTGCTCAAAAGCTGAGGGAGACTAGAAATGATGGGTCCATATCCTGGCGCGCTGACATACAATTCAAACAATGGTGCGGCTACCAGCTTGTAATTTTTAGGGACAGCAAACAAGGCTTTTTCTTGAAGTTGAACCGAAAACAGCTTCTTATGTTCCTTCGGTTTTGTAATATGTGCAGGAATGTATGGATACTGAGGAGGCTTGAAGTTCGGTCTCCACCAGTTCCTGATGCCGTCGTCGATGACCCAGTCCTGCAGGACTCCATCCTGGCAGCCTAGAATCTCTGCCATTAAGCGTTTTAGTCCTTCAACTTCATCTTCTCCCGGGTTAAGTTCATCACCAGGTAGTTTGAAGAAAGTTGTTCCCAGCTGTAGCAGTAGCACATGGGGTAGGTAGCCCGTGCTCGTGTACAATCAGAACCTCTTCTATACAGTCCTCCTCGTTCCAATTTTATCAAATTTCTCCCTCATGCATTGAAATCTGGCTGCAACAGAGCTATCCTTCTCATAGAGGGGCTCTTTTGTACCAAAAGTGTAATTGGTAAGAGGGTGCAGATTGATTGTGCGCTCCAAGGTGAGGGACTTGGTCTGCTGGATGTACTTGTTGCCGAACTGGTTGACGCTCCGGGGCCAGCCGGTCTGCGAACGATTGGGCGGCACCACGGACAAGGTGAGGAGCACCGATGGCGAGCGGAAGGGAGGAGAAGCGGGGAGACTTTCCCGGTGCGGGCAGCGGTCGTCTGCGTCCCGCTGAGCAGCCATCGCCCGCCATTAACAAGGGAGGAGGTGTCTCTTTACTACAGTTTTATTTGCTAAGGCAAGACCCCATTTTATTCTCATTCCTCAAGAGTGTCTTGGCTATTGCTGGCCATTTGTTTTTCCACATTTATTTAGAATCAATTGAATTCTATCACTTATCTCTTCGGTGCAATAAATCTATAGACCACTTTTTGGAGAAATGACATATTTTAAATGTTTTACCTTCCAATCCACAAAGAGTATTTTTATATTTAGGACTTCTTAAGTGTCTTTTAATATTAATACAATTTTATAATTTTTACCACAGAGGACTTGCACATCATTTTTAGCCTTACATTTAGTTATTTGATAATTTTCATGCCATTTAAATATTAAGTTCTTCAAAATTTTATTTTCTATATATATATATATAAACTGTGTTTAATTTTTAAATATATTTTGTTTCTAGCAAATTTGTTAAACAATCTTTTCATTGTAATAATTTATGTATGGATTTCTTGGCATTATCTATATACACATTATATATAAATTTCTGTCCCTAGATCTCTCATGTCTATTTCCTGCCTAATGTACTTGCTAAAATCTATAGCATAATATTGATGACTATGGCTATGCAAGTATCCTTGAATTGTGTCAATCTCAAACAAAAAGCATTCAACATTTCACCATTAAATATAATGATTACTGTGGCATTTTTGTGTACACTTTTTATCACATTATAAAGGCATTCTTTTCTATTTCTAATCAGCTAAGAATTTTTTTAATGAATGAGTTTCAATTTTAGCAAATGGGTTTTTTTTCCATTTTGCTTCAATTAAATAATCATATGTAGTTTCTTCTTTCATCAGTCCATGTGATGTGTTAAGAGCAATTTCGTGTCCAATGAAAAGTCACCCATATATATGATGAACCTACATTAGTCATGATATAATATCTTCCTGCTTATTGACTGATTTGAGTGCATCGCTATTCAAGTGAGAGTGACCTATAACGTTCCTTTACCATATTGTCTTCATTGGGTGTGACATTGAGGTTTTGTTAGTCTCATAAAGGAGATAGGTTAACATCTACTTTCCAAAAGAAATTCTACAGCATTCTTTGAATATTTTGTAGAGATTTCCAGTGAAGCTACATGAGCCTCTGGCTGTCCTTAATGAAATATTTTTGATAACTGAATCAATTGATTTCATGTTTACAAGAAAATCCAAACTTTTTGAGTATGTTTCATCAGTTATATATTCTAAAGATTTGTCTATTTCATGTCAATTTTCAAAATTATTGGCTTTCCAGTACTTAGATAGCACAAATAAGATATATATAAAAATATACATACATATATCTCCCAAATACAAATCTTTTTTTAATTCTTACAAATATCTTCACCCACTCTGTGCCTTTACTTTTCACTATCTTAATAGTGTCTTTGATAATCAGAATTTCTGAATTTTTACATAGATCCAGTTATCCATGTTTCCTTTATAATTATAAATGGTTAATTCTTTTATGTCTTGTTTAAAATAATTTTCCCTACCTTAGGTTTATAAAAAAATTCTATCTTATCCTTGAAAGTTTTATTTTTACCTTTAAATTAATTAAATGGATGTATTAAACAGTCAAGTTTCATCTTTATTCCTTTATACCCAACAAATTTTGCTATGCATTATTTCCATCATTATTAACCATTTTGAACTTATTTTTTACTTCCTTTATGATTTTCATTTTGACTAGTGATTTATTTATAAGTCTATATTTTTACTTTTAAAAACATAGGAATTTCTGCTCATATTTTTGTTATGAGTTTTAGCTTAATTTCATTGCTGGATCACAAACGATGTATAATTTTAATCCTCTAAATATTTTTAAGACCTAATCTGTGGTTACTATTTTGTAAATACTCTACATGTGATTGTAAAGGGTATAATTTGCACTTGTTTGGCAAGATGTCCTATATATGCTCATTTTTTCATCAGCTATTCATAACTTCTACATCATTACCAACAATTTAGAAATTTGTGTCTCAAACAACAATGAAGTTGTTTCTCCCTAGGCATCATTGACTCATTGCTGCTACTGAGAATTCAGCCTTTGACTACTATTCAGTTGAAAGTCATCTTTCTTTCTCTAGTAACCTCTCTTAAGATTTCTGCCATTTCTTTATGACATTGTTTTTTAAGTATGTATTTTTTTATTCCTTCATTTTCATTTTATTTACCATTTCTAACCATCAATTGAATATTGTTCATTGGGGTTTGTTTTTTTTCCTATTAATTCTTACCAGAAGATAAGTTTATTGATTTTTAGAGAGAGAGAGAGAGAAAGATAGATACATAGGTGTGAGAGAGAAACATCAATCGATAGCTTCTCATGTGCACTACGACCAAGGACCAAACCCTCAAGGTAGGTATGTGCCCTGACCAGGATTGCACTGCAGCATTTTGATGTACAAAACAAAACTCCAACCAACTGAACCACCCGGCCGGGGTCATTGTTCATCTGTTTGGAAAAAATCTGAGCTACTATCTCATTACTCCTTTTCTTATTCTCTCCTTTTTTCTTCCAGCATTCCAATTAAACATAAATTCAACTAAACCTATTATTTTTTATACCTTTGTCTTTATGCCTCTCTATGCTCCATTCTTGGCGCCTTTTTTCTGATCTACTGCACATTATAAATTCTCTTTTCTTCTTTGTCCAATCTGTTATTAACTTTATCCACTGTGACTTTAATTTTACTTATTACATTTTTCATTTTTAGAAATTGTATTATATCCTCTTTCATTACTATGTCTCTTTTTAAATTTCATGTTCCCTGAAGCTCTTTTAAAGCTTATTTTTATATCAACATACTTGTTTACTAATCTGTATAAGATTATTCCCATAATATTATCCCAATAATTAAAAGTTTGTTTCACTGTTCTAATTGTCATGGTTTCTTAGTCATCGTGTCTTCTTTCTTTCTTTGCTTGTTGATCCTATTGACTACATGCCTGTCATTATAAATGAAAAATAATTTTTATGTGTAATTCAGGTTTGGAATTAAGTGAATTTTCTCTAGATTTGCATTGGATTCTACCAGCTACTTTGAGACACATACATACTCATGATAATGCAAATTTAAGGTCTGAGATTCCATGAAAATTCAACTACTTCTGGTCTTTCATGAATGACTTGCAAGGACTAGCCCCTTACTCTTCTTTGTTCCTTTGAAGGTGCAGACTTTTAGGTCCCAGCTTCCTGTGGTGAGGGGCTCTGAATGGACGTTGGATGAATTTGGTTTTGTTTTCTTCTCTCTTAACTTTATAACGTCATCATACCAAAGGCTCAAACTTTGTGGGTTTAGCAAATGTCCTCAAAGAAATACCTAACTGGACTCCCATTATGTCTTCAGTGCTTTAAGGTTTTGGAGGTTAGACATCTTAAACAAGTCTGTTTAGGATTGTTTATAGTGGGAAGGTGGCATGCAATCTTAGGTCACTGTTAGTGAAATCACCTCCCCACATTTCTATTCAGATCATTAGGTTCATAGGCTTTATTCCCTTTTTTTACATTTGCAGGATGTTCTTTATCCTTCTGTTTTTAAATTAGACTAATGTTTTTAAAACAAAATTAAGTGTTGAAAAAATTTAACTAACAATAAATAAAAATGACCCCCACAAGCAAGGCACTAATAAAGCTATTATACAGTTTCTTTTCTCTCTTTTTTTGCACATTTCTTTTCAGATGTATTAAAAAATTTCATGATGTTACAATCATAGAGCATGTATGAGAGAAGGCATTGAATTCCTTACATTTCTGAAAATAAGGGAAAACCTGTGTATATTTATATAAAAGAAGAGGATCCAAAACTTTCAGCAGATTTTTCAAGTGTGCCTATTACAACACTTTAAAGATTGAGAATTGTGTTAGTAAACAATTCTGATATTTTTTGCAAAAATAATACCAGGATATAATGTTTTTCTGACATACACGCACTACTCTAACTAGTTTTCATTGTGTCTCATGACCAACTGTGTTACTCCACAGTACTTTGCCAGATCTTATTCTCAATGTTGGATGAATGGCTCCAGTTCTTTGGGCTTATGTATTACAAGAAGCACAACAAGGATGTATCTCCTTCTAAACGTTAACCCCTACACCCCACCCTGGGCAGAAAAGGGAGATTTGCCTGAGAGGTCCCTTAAATCCTGGATGAAATCGGAGCTTATACATTTTCCAGCCAGGCTATGACAGTCTCCACAAAATCAACTCACAAGGCCTTTTCTGCTTGCAGGAACCTTCTGCGACACAAGGGACTTCATCCTGAGTATGCAGAAGGCATATAGAAGTCCACAACAGTGTGATAACTTTTACTGCAAGCTTCCCTGGGATCAAGTGACCTCAGGAAGTCACCATCAGTGGAACAACCATGTTCTCCCATTTTCCTTCTCTGTCAGTGCCCTTCACTCATTCAGGAGCGAGACCTACTCAATCTGCCCACACAGTTTCTAAAAAGAGGTGGGAACAGCCAGGGTTTCTGCAGGTATCCAGGGCCCAAACACTGAGCACGGGCAGGCTTCTATCACGGAGCAATAAAAAATGGGAGCTGTGGGGAGCTAGCAGCGTTCATGCCTTGTTGACACAATCTTGAATTGCGTGGGTTTGGGCTTCTGAAACACCAGCCCCAAAGCTCCTCTCCTTGCGCCCTGGTTCCCACTTCCCCGGACAGCACTGACTCAGCAGCTGAGGGAGACGCGCTGTGGGCTTGGATCGCTCGCTCTTTGCCCAGGCCACTGGCAGTTGGTGGGCCAGCCTCCTGGCCAGCCAGGGGTGATGAAACCTATCACACCCAGTGAAGAATGGGACTGCGAACCCCCTAGTCCCCACCCCACCCTTCCTTCCTCTCTCGGGGGGCTAAAAGTCTGCCACGAGGAAACCCCAACAGCAACAGACAGGGTAACCTTCCCTGGGAGATGCAGCTCCTCCTCGTCCTGGTGGCCCTTCTCCTGCCCCCTGCGGCCAGAGCAGGTAAGTGACCGGCCAAACCTTCAGAGGCCCAACCCCATCCCACAGACTCTGGACACAGGCTGCCTGGTCACTTCCAAACTCTATGTCGTTGGGCACATCATTTGAATTCACACTTCTCAGGTATCTCATCTGTAAATAGAAATAATAGCAACACCTACGCCATAGAGTTGCTATGACAGTTACATTAGTTAATGTACATGAAACTCTTGGAATGGCCCCTGGCATGCAGTATGTGCTCTGTAACTCTGCTCTTTGAGTTCATTCTGCAGCCCGTGTATCAAAACCTAGGAGACAAACAGAGACAGCAATAACAGTCCCTACAGCTCATGTCCTTTACATATTTTATTTATTTATTTTTATAGGGAGGGGAAGGAATGGAGAAGAAGGGGAAAATTAATGTGTTCTTGCTTATCCCATGCTCCCTATGGGGGACCTGGCCCACACCCCAGGCCTGTGCCCTGCCTGGGAATCTAACCGGTGATGCTTTGGCTCACAAGCTGGCACTCAATCCAGTGAGCCTCACTGGCCAGGGCTCATGTCTAGAATATTAAAACACAGTCCATGTTGCTTATGAGGCTGACTTACAGAAATGAGGAAGAGAAAGTACCAGGAAGTCCACTCCGGAAGGCTCTGGAATCTTCATCAGGGCAGCAAATCCCACCCCAGCCCGCCACCTTGAGAGGCAAAGTGGTGTTGCCTGCAGCAAGGATTGTTCTCCACAACAAGGATTGTTTTGAGGCAGGTGGGGGGAGCTGAGCCCTGGGCTGGGGAACCAGCAGCGTTTCCTGCAGAACCCTGGAGGCCTCTCCCATAACGGGGTACCTCCTTGCACACCCCAATTCTCAACACCAATCCTCCTCTCCCTGCGTCATCTCTGTAGCCTCCCCATCTTCTAGCCTTTCTGGAGCCACCAAGCTGTGAGTTCAGTGAGCACGGTAATGACTGCTGAATACTTCCTTCCAGCGGAGATCATCGGGGGCCGAGAGGCCAGACCCCACTCCCACCCCTACATGGCATTTCTTCGAGTCCAAACTCCCATGGGAGGAAGTGCTTGTGGAGGGTTCCTGGTGCGAGAAGACTTTGTCATGACAGCAGCTCACTGCTGGGGAAGGTGAGGAACCAAGGAGCTCTCAACAGGCAGCAGGGCAGGTCCAGAAGCACTCGTGAGAGCGTTGGGCTGAAATCTCGGTTCCAGCACTCAAGGGGTGAATAGAGACTGTGTAGGTCCTGGGAGACAGGGCACAGGCCAGTGTACATACTCAAGGACAGAAGGAGGGGACAAAAAGCACACATTGGAGCTCAAAATATGAATTTCAGCTCTATATAAATGTATTCTATTGATTAATTGATCCTCAGGGTCACCGTGTCCCCCTACCACCAAGAGCCCAAGCCTTTTGAGAAGCAGAGGGCATAGAGATCTCTGCCCCAGAGCCCTGCTGTCCCAGAGCCCTCCTCTCCCCTCACTTCCCCAGCTGCTATCTTGCTGCCATGGGCTCTGCACCTTCCCTGCAGAACTGGTGGACTTTACCTATGGCAGCTCATACCTACCTCGAGACCATGTTCCCTTGCAGATCTATAAATGTCATCTTAGGAGCCCACAACATTAGGAGACCAGAAAATACCCAGCAGCGCATGTCTGTCCTCAGAGCCATCCGCCACCCTGGATTTAACCTGCAGAACCTAGAAAATGACATCATGTTACTGCAGGTACCATTTGCTAGACCCTTGGTTGTCCACCTGAGCTGACTCCTTTCCAGGTCGGGGCTTCACCTTGTTCTGGGACCATGGAGAAGGGGTGGTGGGTGGAGTGCTGCAGAGACTTCCTCTAAGTGCCCACATTCCCACCAGCTGCAAGATAGAGCCAGACGGAATCGATTTGTGAGGCCAGTGTCTCTGCCTCGGACCCGGGCCGGGCTGAGACCAGGGTCCCAGTGCACTGTGGCTGGCTGGGGCCTGGTCAGTCAGAACAGGCGAACAGACACACTCCGTGATGTGCAGCTGAGAGTGCAGAGGGATCAGGTGTGCAGAAGGCAATTTAACAGCTACAACGGCCGACGCCAGATTTGTGTGGGAGACCAGCGGCAGAGGAAGAATCCCTTCCGGGTAAGGCCACAGGCATCTGCCAACACGACCTGAGACAGAGGGGTCTGGGCAGAGCTGGGCAGTGGGAACAGACTACCTCTCCATGGCCTCAGCCTGAGGGCCAGACCAGAGCAAAGTGGGGGCTTTCACCCATCAATCCAGTCTCTGACGAGGGGAGGAGTGCCCAACACTCAGCATGCATATGCAGTGTTTCCATGGGAAAGGGGAAGGTTGAGCTAGAGACAGTACCCACAGCCAGGGTTGAAGACAACAAAACGAACGATGCAGGGGCTTGACTTTCCACCCGCACCACCCTCCCATTTCACGGAGAGGGCCGGCCTTAGGACAGGAAGAATGGGGAGGTGCGGAGTGCCAAGGTCTGGCTCAGTGTTTCTTTCTCTCATCACCCACAGGGGGACTCCGGGGGCCCCCTTGTGTGTAACAATGTGGCTCAGGGCATTGTCTCCTATGGAAGCAGAGTTGGGACTCCTCCAGCAGTCTTCACTCGGGTTTCCAGCTTCCTTCCCTGGATAAATAGGACAATGAGACGCTTCAAACTGCAAGGGATCAAAAGAGACGCCCGCCAACCCTCCTATGATTGACCCTCCTTCTCTGGGACAGAACTGGTTCCAGAGTTTAATAAATGTTTATGTCTAGAGTGCAACTAACCGATTTCTTGTGATATTAAACATCATTCTGCAAAAATGTATCCAGGACTGTGCCTGAGCTCCTCCAGGAATGTGGAGTCCTTTCTTTGCCCAGGACAAATGAACCTCCTGCAATCCATGCAGGGGACAGGAGGAGCTACCTCCCTCCTCAAAGCCAAACACTCACCATCTCCCTTCCCCACACTATTTGTGAGTTTATGGAAGGCCACTAGTCCCCCCAGGGTGAGGCTCTCTGCCCTCCACCTTTCCAGGGGGACTCCCGTTCCAGATATTAAGAAGCATCCTAAACTCTGTGCCCCTGGTGTGTGTAGCACGGGCCTCCCAAAGGGAAAGAATTGAAACTCCAAGCGAGGTTCAATTAATATGCGACAGAGGTGGCGTCTCGGATAAATGGGAACATGAACTTTTAATACATGGTGTTGAAACAGCTAGAGAGTATGAGGGCATAAATTAAATGGAATCCATTCCTCAAAATTCAAAAATCAAAATTCACCAGCTTTGATAAGTTTTTTTTTTAAACGCACGCTGATATGACAGCTGTCACAATACAATCTCACAAATTTGTTTCAAATGAAGTTAAAGACAGCTAAGCACTACAGAGCTATCCCATGGATATAACTAAAAGAACTTTTCGGCCAAGCCAGTAACACATGTAAAAGGCATAAACTTCACTCCTCAAACCCACAAAATGACACATTTGAAGTGCAAGACAGGTCATTGTGACACAAATGACCTTACATTAGACTTCTGTATCCTTGGAACAGCACCACCAGTGACAGATGTACAAAACACAAGAAGTTCACAGCAAATGGACAAGGAATCATGTGGCGCCCACATCAAAAAGGGAACCAACTTTTCTAAAAAGAATAACTAACAAGTCACAGGGATAGGAGAAGCAAAATCCAGCCCATTTAAACATACGATGAAAAGCTAATGAAAGCTTGTTTTCACGCAAGACCATCCTTACATCTGTGTGCCAGGTGTTCCCTGGGGCTCACAGCCCTGGCAGAGCCACAGGTGAGAGAAGCGCAGAATGCACGTGTGAGACGAGCAGGTGAACAGGAGAACGTGCTTGAGCCAAGGGGCAACGTCAGGCCCCAGCAGTAAAACACCACTCTGAGGAGAAGCCATCACACAAACAAATGTAGACCCCAGGTAGTCTGCCAAGAGGAGCCCCACGGAGCCCCAGGGCATAAGCCAGAGCCAGCAGCAGAGAGGGCAGGGGTGTGTGGCCTCAAAGGACAGCACCTGGTGGCTCAGTCTTTCCCCTCACACCTGATAGGAGCCCTTGACCCAGGATAACATATGTTAGGAAGAAAACTGTTCCTTATAAGGACTGAGCATCATGAAGACTGGGCTGCTCTTGGTGGTACATATTTCCCTAAAATGATTTCTAATTATGCCTACATTTATTTGTCTCCCTTGACCTACTGATTTCTATTTCTAGGACCTTTATCTTATATAACATCTGAAGTGTGGGGGGAGGGTGTCATAAAAATGTTCATGACACCATTACTTAACAATAGATTCCACATGGAAGTCACATAAAGTCCTATAATACATGGAAATGGGAAAATATGGCACATCACATTATGTATTTATCGTATAAGCCGTTCACAACTACATTATCCACTGCTCTAAAACACTAGTCTAAGGAAATAAAAGAAAGAAAGGAAATTGGGCTAAGAACATTAATAGACAAGTTATTTAAGAAACTAAACATTTGAGGAAAAGGCAAAGTTTACGTACGAATCAATGGAAATTAAAATAGTAATAATTTTTGGAGGTCCAAGATGGCAGAAGAGTGGCTGGAAGTCACACTAACCTCCTCCCGGGACCAACCTGGAACTGCAACTAAATTGTGGAGAAATCACCCAGAACAAACAATTGAACAATCGGGAGAGAGAAGCCTTATAACCACGGACAGACAGAAGAATCAGCTTCAGCAAAACCTGACTGGTAGAGAGTGCGGTGGAGACACAACAGGGCTGGCAGGGTACCCACAGGTGGCAGCTGAAATGCCAGAGGGATACATAAGTGTCTGGTTGAATCCCCCTGAGAAGTATGGGATCCCCAGCCTGCAGCACCAGAGCCCCAAAAGTACACAGATAACATCCAGCTGCAAAAAGCCGCAGGGTTGCTCTCTGCCAGAGACAGATGGATGGAGACACAAAGAGCCATTTAAAGGGCAAAGGCATACATTTTCATTGGCAGCCACTTCCACCGGGCTCCCACGAAGGCGGGGGCGGGGGGCAGAGTGGACTAGAGTCGCTTGAGGAGAGGCTGGGGATGGAAGCTGTGGGGAGAGAACACAGAGAGTAGCCACCGGGATCCTGGTGCTGAGTCATCCCCCATACAGCATCAGCCATCCAAGTGGCAGCAGCCTGATGGGAAACAATAGCACTGACGCCAGGAGGGATTCTGCTCCGCCCTGGGGTGCTTAAGCCTGACTACTGAGTGCAGAGTGACTAGAATAACAACAGAAGGAGTCAGCCACAGACTGTAGATGCCTGGAGGCCTCAAACAGGCTGCCTAAGGTCAGATGGCGTCACCTTCTGACATCACCAGAAGTGGGTCCAGACAGAAAAAACAGTGGTAAATACTAGATGCCAGTGAAATGAAATCCACTGTGGTCTTCCACATGATTTGTGACATTTTCTTTCCTTGCATAGCTCTTTAACATTCATTTCTTGTCCTTCAGATCTGTACATGTAAAGTCACTAGGTTTTATACTACACTTTATTTCAGTTCACATATTTTGTCCCTCCCTTCTATTACCCCATTTTAACAATGTTACTTACCCCATGCTATTAAACAATGATTGGGTCAATAATGAGATCAAGGAAGAAATCAAAACGTCTCTGGGAACAAACGTAAATGAACACACAACAGTCCAAAACCTATGGGACACAGCAAAGGCAGTCCCGAGAGGGAAGTTCATAGCAATACAGGCCTGCCTAAAAAAAGATAGAACCATTTCAAACAAACAGCCTAACCCTACAGCTTCAAGAACTGCAGAACAACAACAAACAAAGCCCAGCGCGAGTAGAAGGAAGGAAATAATCAAGAGCAGAGCAGAACTGAATGACATTGAGACTAAAAGAACAATTCGAAGGATCAACAAATCGAGGAGCTGGTTCTTTGAAAAGAGCAACAAAATCTACAAGCCTTTAAGCAGACTCATGAAGAAAAAACGGGAGAGGACGCAAATAAATAATATCAGAAATGAAAGAGAAGAAGTTAATCGTGTCCTATCATGTGGCCTATTTTTTCTTTCCTAAATGAAAAGAAAAATGTCCGTGTGCATTTGAAAAGAATCTGTATTTTGCTTCATTGGGATGAAAGGTTCTATATACATCAGTTAGTCCATTTGATGTAGTGTGTCATTCATTGCCACGATATCCTTGCCGATGTTTTGTTTGGAAGATCTATCTATTGTTGACAGTGGGGGGTTCAAATTCTCTACTTTCAACACGTTGCTGCCTATATCTTTCTTCAGGTCCTCCAAGATTTTCCTTATATATATGGGTGCTCCTATGTTGGGTGCGTATATGTTTACAGCCTTAATGACTTCTTGATGGATTCTTCCCTTGAGTATTATGAAGTGTCCTTCTGGGTCTCTTTTTATGGCCTTTGTTTTGAAGTCTATTTTGTCCACTATGAGTATTGCTACCCGGCTTTTTTTTCCCTGTCTGTTTGTTTGAAATATATTTTTTCATTCTTTTATTTTCAGTCTGTGTGGCTCCTTTGTTCTTAGGTGGGCCTCTCTTAGGCTGTATATGTACAGGTCATATTTTCTTATCCATTCAGCCACCCCATGTCTCCTGATTGGAATAGTGAATCCGTTTACATTTAAAGTTATTAGAGGTGGGTACTTATTCATTTTTTTCCCTTTGTGCCTATGTTCCTCTCTCACTCTTCTTCTTCACATTCCTAAAGCGGTCCCTTTAGCATCTCTTGCAGTGCAGGTGGAGATGAGGTTTATTCTTTTAGCCTTCTTTTGTCTGGGAAACTATTTACTTCACCTTCCATTTAAATTGAGAGCCTTGCTGGGTAGAACATTCAGCAAAGTGGGAGTAAAGGGGGAATACATCGACATAATAAAGGCCATATATGAAAAACCTACAGCGAACATCATACGCAACCGGCACAAACTAAAAGCTTTCCCACTAAGATCGGGAACAAGACACGGTTGTCCCCTTCCGCCACTGCAATTCAAGATGGTATTGGACACCCTAGCCACAGTGATCAGACAAGAAAAAGAAATAAAAGGCACCCAATTTGAAGGAAGAAGTACAACTGTCATTGTTTGCAGATGACATGGTAGGGTACATAGAAAACCCTATAGACTCCATCCAAAAACAACTCGACCTAATAAATGAATTTGGCAAAACTGCGGGATGCAAAGTTAATATTCAGAAATCAAAGGCATTTTTGTACACCAACCGTGAAATATCAAATCAGAAATCAGGAAACAAGTCTCATTTGCTATAGCAACAAGAGACATAAACTACCTAGGAATAAACTTAACCAAGGAGATAAAAGACCTGTACTCAGACAACTACACAATGCTGAAGAAAGAAATTAAGGGAGATGCAAATAATGGAAGCATATACCGCATTAATGGATTGGAAGAGAATTAACACCATCAAAATGTCCATACTACTCAAAACAATTTATACGTTCAACACAATCCCTTAATCGTTATTACAACACCAATGACGTACTACAGAGTTATAGAACAAACATTTCAAAAATGTATATGGAACCATAAACGACCTTGAATAGGTGCAGCAATTTTGAGAAAGAACAAAGGAATAGGGATCACAATACCTGACATCAAACTACACTACAAGGCCACTGTAACCACAAGGGCCTGGTACTGGCATAAGAATAGACACATAGATCGATGGAACAGAATAAAGAGCCCAGAA